GTCTTCAGATACAACATTTTTGCATTAGTAAGATAAAGTTAAGTTAAGATGTAAAACTTGTGAACAGCTCAAATGTTGAGGCATAAAGTCCACGAACAGAGGTGGACAAATATGTCAGGGAAAGATACCTATGAAGAAGAAGTCAGTGAAAATTTGGTCAGATGCACTGAGAAACGGGTAAATTTTCAGAACCACAGACTGGAGCATGTTCCAAACCTTTCACAGTGATGACATCAACAGCCTGACTGAAAGTATCATATGAACGAGGGCTACAGAGCTTCCCAAAAAACCACCCCTAGGTGATTCCTGAGCTGAAAGTCCTCCTGAACCAGAAAAAAAGGGGCTTTAAATTCAGGGGACAGAGAAGAGCAGCGTAGAGTTTAACGAGAGCTCCAATGGAGGATCAGGGAGTTAAAGAAGGGCTATGAGAGGAAAATAGAGCAACGGCTGTCATAAAACAATGTCAAAGATGTGTGAAAGGGGGGGTCAAGAACATCTCCGGCTTTGGGCAGAGGAGCAACAGGGCTGCAGACAGCGGCACCAAGTTTGCAGACAAGTTAAACAGGTTTTCACACATTTTGACCCCCCTCACAGTAGCCTCCTCCAAGCCCTTAACTCTTCACAAGTCTCCAATCCCCAGGCCATCAGAGACCTACCCTCTCCTTACTCTTACCAACACCCCGTGCCATGCCTCTCTCCCCCCTCACAGTCACTTCGATGCAGGTGTGAGGCCAGCTGAAGAGGCTGAAACAGTGGAAAGCCTCTGGACCGGACAGGATTCCTACAAGGCTGCTGAGGAACTGGGCTGAGGAACTGCAGAGAGTGGTGACCGACCTGATGTCAGTTTGCTTACCAACCTGACATCAGAGTGGAGGATGCCATCATCTACCTGCTGCAGCGGGCACTCACCCACCTGGAGACCACTGAGAGTGCAGTGAGAGTCATGTTCTTTGACTTTTCCACCAATTTCAACACCATCAGAATAGAGCTGCTGATGGGGGAGCTGGAGGACGCTGGAATGGACAGACCTCTTGCTGCCTGGACCATCAACTCCCTCCCAGAACGCCCTCAGTAAGGCTGCACGGCTGCCAGTCACCTCGGACTTCACTTACAACACTCACAGCTTCCACCTCCAGAAGGTCTCCAATGACTCGGCCATTGTGGGCTGTGCTTCTAGGAGGAAGGAGCTGGAATATCGATCAGTCATCATGATCTTTGTGGACTGGTGTGAGAAGAACCACCTGTGTCCTAACACCACCAAAACCAAGGAGATGGTGATCAAGTTCAGGAGAAGACCCCAACCTCACTCCCCCGTGAACATCCAGGGACAGGACATAGAAACGGTGGAGAGTTTCAAAGACCTGGGTGTTCACGTCAATAATAAACTGGACTGGACTCACAACACTGACGCTCTGTATAAAAAAGGACCAGAGCCGCCTCCACCTCGTGAGGAGGCTGAGGGCCTTTGGAGTCAGCAGGCCTCTGCTTCAAACCTTCTATGACTCTGTGGTGGCCTCAGCCCTCCCCTACACTGTTGTCTGCTGGGCCCCTGGCAGCGCAGAGCGGGACAGAAAGAGACTGAACAAACTGGAGAAAAAGGCCGTTTCTGTCCGAGGCTGCACTCTGGGATCAGGGGAGGAAGTTGCTGAGAGGAGGATGCTGCCAAAGCTTAGATCCATCATGGAGAACACCTTCCACCCTCTGCATGAGACTGGAGAGGAGCTTTTGTAAAAAGGAGCGCTACCGCAGGTCATTCATCCCTGCTGCAACGAGAATCTACAATGCAACACTATAACAATGTATAATGTCCAATTATTATTTGATACCCTATTTCTCTAATTTGGACACCCAGTGCAATAACTATACCCATACCCATGTAAACACCCTGTGCAATAACCCGGTATCATGATACTACAATAAAAAGAAAAAAATAAGTTGTCACATGTGGACGCACTGTATATACTGTATATATCCCATGCAACTTTTTCTTCCTTTGGAACCTTCTTCTTCTTTGACTGATGTAACAAGTACATTTAACCACTGTAAGATCAATAAAGTCAATCAATCAAGCCTAATTAAAAACAGCCCATTGACTAAAATCTCTTATCGTTCATTTCTTTTTGAAGAAAATATTGGGAGTTTCTCATTATGTTTTCTGTTCTTGTAGACTTGCGCTTTAAAGACGTAGAGAAGCGACTGTTTAACCGTTTAATTTCCAAATTATTCAGAGTGGTGCACCACTTTACACGAGTGAATAAAGTGAATGTGATTGGTCATTTATCAAGAGGGGGCGGGATTGTTGTAGCAGAAGGTTTGCAAGCAATTTTGATTGGTGCCGGTTTGTCGGAAGCATCTTGCTAACCAGTTAGCAACTTAGTGCTAGTAGGTTCCCAATGGGAAATTCCATTGGGAGCAAGTAGCACTAAATTGGTGACTTAGAAACGACGCTGTCAAGGAACACTATGGACAGCGGAAACATGCAAGAGGAGGAGAGTTTGGTGTTGGAGGTCGTGGATGAGTCTCCTCCATCATCCATTTT